TGTGGGGTGGGGCTGGCGCGATGGGCGGGGCGATGTGGGGTGGGGCTGGCGCGATGGGCGGGGCGATGTGGGGTGGGGCTGGCGCGATGGGCGGGGCGATGTGGGGTGGGGCTGGCGCGATGGGCGGGGCGATGTGGGGTGGGGCTGGCGCGATGGGCGGGGCGATGTGGGGTGGGGCTGGCGCGATGGGAGGGGCGATGTGGGGTGGGGCTGGCGCGATGGGCCAGGTTCTCACCAGATCCTGCAGGATTCTCTCTGTGGAGTTGAACTTCCAGGAGCCTGGGCGCTGCATGTCGTCTTCGTAGTGCAGGTTGGTTACGGTGAAGTTGACGGTGAACGGCACCAGGAAAGGGATGGCTGCTGTAGCAGGAGAAAGCAAAAGAAGGCGGTGCCTCAGTCCGGCCTGGGCTGGCCTCTAAAACAGCTTCTGGGGATGGAGATGGATCCAGATGTGAGGAAGCAGAGGTTCAGAGTGGCAGGTAGGCTACCTTAGAACCAAACACAGAGGCCTCATAAGGAGCAAAGCCAGATGCTATTAAATGTGGTTGCATCCACATCCATTAGGATGGCTATTAGGCGATGAAAGAAAGGAAGAAAGAGAGAAAGAGAGAGGGAGAGAGGGAAGGAGGGAAGGAGGGAGGAAGGATGGAAAAAATAAGTGTTGGCAAAGATGTGCAGAAACTGGAATCTTCATGCATTGTTGGTGGGCATGCTCGTGGAGCTGCTTGTAGAAAACGGTTCAGGGGCGCCCGGGTGGCTCAGTCGGTTAAGCCTCCGACTTGGGCTCAGGTCATGATCTCACAGTCCGTGAGTTCAAGCCCCTCATCGGGCTCTGTGCTGACAGCTGGGAGCCTGGAGCCTGCTTCAGATTCTGTGTCTCCCTCTCTCTGCCTCTCCCCCACTCATGCCCGGTCTCTGTCTCTCAAAAATAAACATTTTAAAAAATTTAGAGGGGCGCCTGGGTGGCTGAGTCAGTTAAGTGTTTGACTTCAGCTTAGGTCATGATCTCACAGTTCATGAGTTCAAGTGCTGCATCAGGCTCTGTATTGACAGCTCAGAGCCTGGATCCTGCTTTAGATTATGTCTCCTCTCTCTGCCCCCTTCCCCACTCGTGCTCTGTCTCTTTCTCTCTCAAAAATAAATAAACATTTTTAAAAAATTTTAAAAATCCCAGTCCCCAAAGATTGGATGCTATATGATGTTATTGATACAACATTCCCAAAACAATAACATTAAAGAGATGAGAAACAAATTAGTGGTTGCCAGAATGAGGCTGGGTGGGTATGCCTGTAAAACATCTTTGTAGTGATAGAACTGTTCTGAGCCTTGATTGTAGTGGTGCTTATGAAAATCTGCCAATGTGATAAAATGGCATAAACACACACACACACACACACACACACACACACACACACACACAGGAATCCATATAAAACTAGTAAAATCTGAAATCTGAGGTCTGTGGATTTTCACAGTTAATTTCCTGGTTTTGATATTATACTGTAGTTACAGAAGATGTTAACCACTGAGGAGAAATTGAGTGAAGCATGCAGGGAACTCTGTACTATATTTTGCAATTTCCTGTGAATTTATGTTCATTTCAAAATGAAAAATTTAAATTTAAAAGATTAAAAATTAAAAAGCAGAACTACAGAGTGTGGCATGTTTACGTGCTGAATAACATGGTTATCTTGATTTTTTTCATGTTTATTTATTTTGAGAGAGAGAGTGAGCATGAGCAAGGGAGGGGCAGAGAGAGAGGGAGAGAGAGAACCCTAAGCAGGTTCTGCACTGTCGGCACAGTGCTCAATGTGGGGCTTGAACTCATGAACTGTGAGATCATGACCTGAGCTCGAAACCAAGAGTTGGATGCTCAAGTGACTGAGCCACCCAGGTGCCCCAAGAGCTCTGTGCTGACAGTATAGAGGCTGCTTGGGATTCTCTCTCTCCTTCTCTCTCTCTACCTCTTCCCTGCTCATGCTTGTTCACACACACACTCTCTCTCTCTCAAAATAAATAAACTAAAAAAAAAAAAGAGTTGGACGCTTAGCTGACAGCCACCCAGGTGCCCCGTGGTTATCCTTTACAATTATTATCAATCGTAACCACACATTCAATTCCAGTCTCTCAGAACACAGTCAGCTTGGTGAGGGGAGGGACCACCTGACTCCATCTTCTGCCCTCTGCCTGGTACGGGTCACGCGCCCAGTGATGTCTATCATACTAAGTTCCCTGGTAGTCTCCATGCTGTGTGCTTCCATACATTCTCATTCAACCTTCACAATGACCTTATGAGGTGTGATTATTCTTACCCGGCAGGTGAGGACACTGAGGCACTGAGGGGGTCAGTCAATTGTCCTAGGCCAATGCATATGGACAGATGAGGAGGACACATTCTCTGCTCTTGAGGAGTGAGAGCAGAGCAGGGGACCCTGGTAGCTCCAGGGCTTTTCTTTACAACTTCCAGGTATAGATTTGAGGCTCCTTACAAGGAGCTAGAGAGAGAAATCGCCTACCTGTGGAGCTGGAGAAGTGGGCTGGCACTGCCGAGGTCCCTGGGGAGAGCACGGGGGTCACGGGAGCTAAGGATGAACAGTCTGGTGTAAGAATGGGGATTCTGAGTGGAGTGCCTTCCCCTAGAGCCACTGAATGCAGGAGGAATTCAGCCTCCTAGCCACCTCTCTCCCCCAGGCCCTGGGGGTAGGGGATCAGTTGCTGTCACCAGGGGTCTGCAGCATGTGGTCATCAGGGCTACGGATACTCACCACTGGGTATGAGGGCTGAGGTCCAGTGGGTGTAACCTGAAATGAGAAAAGGAGACAGAACTGGGATGCAAGCAAGGGAGGGAGGTCCAAGATATAGCCCCAAAGCCCACCAGCCCCTACCCCCAACTAAGACTTCACATCTACGTAGTTCAATGGTTGTGATTCAGGGGGAACCCTATCTCATTTCTAAAAGGCTGAGAGATCAGAGACCCGGGCCCCTGTCTTCATGAACTTGCAATTTATTTGGGAAGGTAAATACACCAACATTTCTAGAAATGGGTTTGTTAAGTGTGCTTTTCAGGCTCCAGAGGAGATTTTGAGATAGACGTTGACAGGGACAGAGATGGCCAGACCTTTGAATAGCCACTGACTTCAGCCAGAGAGATATCCTCTTTTATCAGTCTGGATAAAGACTTTGTGGCCCAGACAAGTACAGAAATCGCAGCCCTGAAATGCAGGGATGCAAAGGGAAGAAAAGGATTTGGAAACTGGAGGGCCCATGGGGGTCCTTGACTCATCAAGAGATATCACTCAGGTGGAAAATAACACACCGGGTGGCTTCTATGACTCCCTTGCAGGCAGGAGGCAGATTCTCAGCTTTAACTTGTGGTTACAAAAAAGGTTGCTCACCATTGACATAGAGGCTTTTCTTGTCCAGGGTGAAGAAGCCCAGCTGGGTGACACCATGGGTCTGATGGCTCAGCTCCCAGTACAGCTTCTCCCTGTCTAGCTTAGGGCCCATGGGGTCAGAACGGTGAGTACAGACAGCATCAACTCCAGTGGCTGTTCGCTTTTTCTCAGGCCTGGGCAGGGAGACATGGGAAAGGGGAGGTGGGGACTCCAGGTAGGAGCCCTGGGAAGCCTCACTGAAGGAGGGGACAGAGAAAGCAGAACAGCTGGTAGACAGCCTGGAAGGGTCTTGGTGCTGGAAGGGGGTTGGACATGATTAGGACAAGCAAGACCCCTGAGCACAGAGGGTGCAGCATCTTCCAATGCTGATGCTTGTGCTGAGCGTTAAAAATGGAACTAGAGTGGGGCGCCTGGGTGGCTCAGTCGGTTGAGCGTCCGACTTCAGCTCAGGTCATGATCTCACGGTTCGTGGGTTCGAGCCCCGCATCGGGCTCTGTGCTGACAGCCAGCTCAGAGCCTGGAGCCTGCTTTGGATTCTGTGTCTCCCTCTCTCTCTGCCCCTTCCCTGCTCACTCTCTCTCTCTCTCAGAAATAAATAAAACATTTTTAAAAAATGGAACCGGAGTGAATTATGCTAAATGAAACAAGTCAGTCAGAGAAAGACAAATATATGATTTCACTCATATGTGGAATTTAAGAAACAAAACAGATGAACATAGGAGAAAGAGGGCAAAAAATAAGCTAAAAACAGAGAGGGAGGCAAACCATAAGAGACTTTTAAATACAGAGAATAAACCGAGAATAAACTGTTGCTGGAGGGAGGTGGGTGGGGGATGGGCTAAATGGGTGATGGCCATTAAGGAGGGCACTTGTTGGGATGAGCACTGGGTGTTGTATGTAAGTGATGAATCACTGGGTTCTACTCCTGAAACCATTATTACACTATAGGTTAACTAACTTGGATTTAAATTTTTAAAAACGTAAAATGGGGCGCCTGGGTGGCTCAGTCGGTTAAGTGTCCAACTTCAGCTCAGGTCATGATCTCATGGTTCATGAGTTAGAGCCCCAGCCTCAGACTCTATGTCTCCTCTCTTTCTGCCCCTACCCTGCTCTCTCTCTCAAGAATAAACATTTATAAATAAATAAATAAATAAATAAGGAAAAGAAATAAAATTACAATCATAACAAGGCAACATATATGCTAATGACAGAAGCATGATGGAGAGGACTTAGAGAAGGTGAGAAAAAGCAGTGTCAAATTGCTTAAACCCCAGCTCTCTGGCTCAGTTGCTGGCTGACTCTGAGTAAATCCCTCAACCTCTCTGTGGCTCTTTTTTTTTTTTCATCCATCAAATGAGGTAATAGGACAGACCCTACAGCACTTAGCACTAGTAAATGGTCAGTAAAAGACAGTCATTTTTATAAGGCATTAATAGGGCCAAAGTTCTTGGTGCAAATGGACCTTGCAGTGAGTGAGACTGAGCCTTTTGAAAGAAACAGTGAGGCTAAGCAGCCAGCCTTGAGTGGAGATGGGCATGAGTCTGTGTGGTATCTCAGAGCCAGAGAAATCTCAAGGCCAGTGGAAAGGGGGAAGACATAGCATTGTGGCTGGAGGACTATGGTATCTTTGGAGCTGAGGGTATTCCTTCCTCAGATGAAGGGTCATTGATTGGGAGATTTCACACAAGAAGTAAAGTGAGACAAGTACACACGTGGGGGCTCCCACATGATAGAGTTATTCTCAGTATCTAGGTCTAGGAAAGGTCATGAATAATTTACTGTGTGTCCTTTATATGTTACTTCCTTTGCTAAGCACCTTTCATTTTAATCCTCACTATCTATGCTCACACAAATGACCACAAATTCTTTCCTTCAATCAGAAGTGGAGTCTCTTTCAGGGCACCTGGGTGGCTCAGTCAGCTGTGTCTGACTTCAGCTCAGGTCATGATCTCACAGTTTGATCTCATGGAGTTCAAGCCCTGCGTTGGGCTCTGTGCTGACAGCTCAGAGCCTGGAGCCTGCTTCAGATTCTGTGTCTCTCTCTCTCTGCCTCTTCCTTGCTTGCTCTCTCTCTCTCTTTCTCTCCCTCCCTCTCTCTCAAAAATAAATAAACATTAAAAAATAAAAAAAGAAGTGGAGTCTGTTTCTTCATCTCTTGAATCTGGGCTTGGCCAATGCACGTTCACAAATGTGATGCAAGTGACGGCTTGGAAGGCACATGTGCAATCAGACTTGACATGTCTTGCTGCTCTTGGAACTCTGAGCATGTGAATGAACCCAAGCTTGCCTTCTGGAGCATGAGACAATGTGGAGGAAAGTATCCCGGCCAGCAGCTGACTGCAGACACAAGAATGAGCCTCATCTGAGATCAGCTGAGCCAACCCAGGCTGGAGAATCTCCCAGCAGAAGAGATACCAAATCACCATCCAGCAGAATCATGGGCTACATTTGTTTGCAAGAAAGCAAATCGAGATACTCCAACTGACAGGTGAGGATGCTGAGGCACAGAGATGTCAAGTAGGATATTTAGCAGCATTCCTGGCCTCACTCACTAGACGCCAGGAGTAACTACCACCCGTGAGTTTCAACAACCAAAAAATGTCTCCAGACATTGCCGAATGTCCCCTGCGAGGGAAATCATTCTGGTTGGAAACTATGGCTCCATTGTGATAAAGCCAGCACGATTGACCAGTTGTCTTCTTGATGAATTCCAGAAGAAAGATCTCTCTGAGAAGTTCAACCCTGTCACCTGGGAAGGGGAGTCCAAGACGATTCTGCATTTCCTGGTTAGGAACACAATGTGAGACAGCCTGGCAGCCGGTGGTCAGCTGTCCTGTGATGGAGGTACCGCTCGTGGCCCCCACCCCCTGCACATTGCATGCATGTGTAGTCTGGAGTTCTCACCTGAGCAAGGTCAGTCTGCAGCCATAATAGAGGGGCCCAATACTGCTGTTCTGGAACAAGGGTTTGAGCTGGGGATGAAAGACATAGAGGTAAGTAGATGGGCCGAGGGGCTGGGAAGGACAAAAGTAGGCACTGGAGGGCCGGCATTGGAGGGGCTCTCACCAGACGATTCAAGGTCCTCTCTACACTGTTGAATAGCTCAGATCCTGGGAGCTCCATGTCCTCTGTGTAGCGCAGATTGGTGATGGTGAAGTTGAGGGTGAAGGGCACCAGAGACAGGCTCACACCTGCAGCCGTAAAGGGAGAGAGGGGCTTCATTACGATCTCTGATGGGGATGGCTGTACGCGGCAGATCCAAGGGTTGCCACCCTATCTGTGTCTTCCTTGCATCCAGCCAGACTTGGCCTCCAACCTGGATGGATGATTTTAGCTGGAAAAAGAACCTCAACTCTTCATCCTAGTGCATCTAAGGAAAAACAGTTGGCAGACATTTTCGTGGGAGGAAACGAAGCAAAATCACTCTGTTGCCCCCTGGGGCAGAGATCTCCCATTGGCTTCTGACTTCACCATCGGAGAATGTGCACCCGCTGAGTGGTCTTGTCCCCCCTGAGAGTGACTCCTGTCTCAATCTCATTAAACCATCTTTGAAGAGTGGATTTTACGTGGACTGACCACATCTCCTGGTTTTCCCTCGACAGTCATGTGGCTTGCATGTAAATATTAATTAAAACTCTCCCTTTCTTTGTCAAAAGTGTCCCATTAAAAAAGAAAAGAAAACAAGAACCCTGTATAGTTATTCTGGGGTTAGTGTATGAAGAATCAAAAGACAGAGGTCTGAAGTGGGTGACTGTACCCTTTACAGATTTCATCTGAGGAGCACCAGTTGGGTGCTCATCTCTGTACTGGGCACTTCATCTACAGCATCTCATCTCACCCTCACCACAATCCTGGGAGTTCAGTATCACCAGTTCCATTTTACAGCTGGGGAAACTGAGGCTCAGAGAAAGTAAATGTTACCCGAGTCCCACAAACAAATGAATGGTACAGCTACAATGCCTTTTTAACTCAAAAATAGGTATTTTTCTGTTTTGTACAACCATGTTTAAAGCAGCATTATTCACAATAGGTGAACATTATTCACCGAATATTATAATTCTGTGCTGACAGCTCAGAGTCTGGAACCTGCTTCAGATTCTGTGTTGCCTCCTTTCTCTGCCCCTCCCCCACTCACACTGTCTCTCTCTCAAAAATAAATAAAAACGTTTAAAAACTTAGGAATAAAATCTTGCCATTTGCTACAGCACGGATGGAGCTAGAGTATATTATGCTAAGCAAAATAAGTCAGTCAGAGAAAGACAAACACCATATGATTTCATTCATATGTAGAATTTGAGAAATGACACAAGTGAGCAAAAAGGAAAAAAAAAAGAGAGAGAGAGACCAGCCAGTAACAGACTCTTAACTACAGAGAACAAACTAATTGATGGCTACCAGAGGGGAGGTGGGTGGGGAGATGGGTTAAATGGGCGATGGGTATTAAGGAGGGCACTTGCTGTGATGGGCACTGGGTGTCGTATGTAAGTCCTGAGTCACTAAATTGTTCACCTGAAATTACTCTTACAATGTATGTTAACTAACTGGAATTTAAATAAAACAACCAAAAGAAACAAAAAAAGTAGAGTAAACAAAGCAATAGTAATCAAGACAGTAAGGTACTAGATAAGGGTGGACATGTAGATCAATGGGATATAATTGAAAGTCTAGAAGCAAATCCTCACATTTATGATGAATTGATTTTCAGCAAGGGCGCCTGTACAATTTAATGGAGAAAGAAGATTTTTAAATAAATGGTACTGGTATAACTGGGGGAAAAAAAGCAATAGTAGCTAAAACTTGCCCACATCTCTTGAAAACATACATTTTCAGATTCAGGAAGCTTCAAAAATCCCGAATAGTATAAACTCAAAGAAAACCATGCTCAGATACATCATAATCAAACTTCTAAAAACCAAAGATGAAGAAGAAGTCTTGAATGCATCTACAGGAAAATGACATCATCAGTCATGGGATGACTTGGTCTATAGCACATGCCAAGCTTGTAGGAGCTAAGCCTGTTACAGAAATGGTTGAGTTGATCAGAGTGGAGCAGTAAGGAAGTGGAGAGTGTGCATTCTGTCTAAAGTTGGTAAAAAGTTTGCAGTGTCTTGACTCATAAAACACAGAAAGCCGGAGGGCAGAATTCAAATCGGCAGCTTGTATCCCGTAACTCCAGGCTCCCACGGCAAGATTAAAGATCAGGGAAGTCCTGTCTTGGTCATGACATAAGCGTGAAAAGTACCCATAGACTCTAATTTTAAAATAAATCTTAAGGGTTGGAGGTAAGACAAGTTTCCTGACATAAATCAAGCCCCTGTATCAGGTTCCTGGAGACTCAAGAGCCCTCAGACCCACATCTGGGTCAAATGAGGAGACAGCAAGAACCAAGTTCATGACTAAGATCTTGAATGATTTTCAGGATGTTCAAAATAAATCCACAAATGTGGACATATACAAGATTGCTACATTCATTCATTCAACCAGTCAATTAATATAAAGTGAGTGCAGACTAGGTGCTCAGCTCCAAGGTGACAAATACATAAATACTGAATAAAGAAAATAGTATTAAATTCCATCAGAAAATATTCATGGTTGTGGATAGTGAAAAACTGTGGGCCAGGTGTGTATTCAGAGGTGCTACTTCCTATAAGATGGTCTAGGAAGGTCTTTCAAAGAAGGTGAGATTGAGCTGGGATTTGAAAAGTAATAAGGTGCCAGGTATAGCGGATCTCCAGGAAGAACTGGTATAAAGTCCAGAGGTTAGGACACTAGAGGAACAGAAAATGTCTGCTCCGGCCAGATTTTGGAGAGTGAGGGAGGGAAGTGAGTAGGACAAGCTGAGGCTGCGTGGTCTACAGGAACCAGACTGTGGGGAGTTGAAGTTTTACGGGTCTCAGAGAGCAGGCTCCTACCTGTAGAGCTGAGGATGGGGGGCAGAGAGGTGGAAGATTCTGGAGAGAATGCAGAAGTCACTGGAGCTGAGGAAAAAAAAAAAAAAGAACATGGGAAAAATTATGAAGTCCCATCCTGAAAGAATGTGGGACAAAAGCTATTCATTAGAATTTGGTCTTTTGTCTTGACTCAGAGCAAGACCCTGGGTGGGGTGGGGGCTCCTCTGAGTCTGCGGCTAGACACTTAGGGAAGGAGCATTGGCAGTTTCTCTCCACAAGAAGGTGCTTTGGGGAATAAGGGTCCAGTGGGCATTGAAATCTCAGTCTTGAATACTCACTGCTGGTGGTAGGGGTCCAGTACCGGTGATTATAACCTGCAGAGATAAGTAAAGGACTGTTATAATGGCTAAGAGTTAAGGAAGGGGTAGATGAAAATCATGAAATTCATTAGCAAACTTGCTGAGATTTATACATGAACAGTAATGGCTACATTTCATTCAGTTCCCTTATGTGGCTTATCCCTTGAAAATAGTGACGAACATCATCACCATTATTATTGCCAAAATAAAAATACAATAATAATAGCTGCCCCTATTTATTGGGACTGTACTATGCACCAGAAATAATACAAAACAATACATTACAAGGTAGTGGGGCAAACTTACAAACAAGTGTGTTCCAAGGCTTAACCATGTCCTCTTAATCCATAAAGATAATTTTAGCCTTGCTCTCTCAGCTTTTCTTCCTTCACAAAATTTTATGATAGTATGACTTTAGAGTGGTCTGTGGAAGCGAGCAAGATGGAGGAGAGGAAATGTGCATGTGGTTTGGAATATTAGAGAAACGTTAGAAAAGGGCTAGGATAATGAACATGAGAAGAGACTTGGAGGTCAGATGCATGGCATAAAAATTGGATTCTGAAAGGAATTGGGGAAAAGAGAATTTTTCATCAGTGTTTCTCTGGGTCATGGTCATCGCCTTGGATGTGAGGGGTGGGAGTAATTCTGGACCCAGAGGAGCCCCATGATTTACTGGGGTTATTCCTGTGAACTATCTTCTGTGACCATTAGGAAAATCCTGCATGGTATATATGTTTATTCCATTCTGTAAAGCCTACAGGGGTTGCATGGCTTGTCCATAATCACATAAAACAGAGATCTGTCACTTACCAATCACTATCAACCACTGTTTTAAGGAAATATCCAAGTTGATATAGAGGGGACATAACTAACCAAGCATTAGGTTAGATTGTTAGGCTAGAGGTCATTTATACCCCCGTCCTATCCTGAGATTTGAGGCTCTCTTTATCTGGATGGTCTGTGGTGTCACCTTGTAGTTCGAAACTTGGAGGTTAGATTCAATTTCCAGTTTGTTTGAGTCTTGACTCTGTCATGCATGATGGCTGGATTATCTCAGGGAATATGACTTACTGTCTGAATGCAAGATGGCTCTCTCTGTAAAAATGAGTGTAACAACTCACAGGGTATTGAGTAAGATTAATACAAGATAATACTAATAAAAGAGTTTAGCACAATTTCTGGCCCATAAGAACCTTTTGATAAGAATTAGCCACAATTGTACTTAGTATTCTCAGTGTTAGCATGGCCAGTAGGGGCATTGTTGCTAATGGCGTTGTATAAGTAGTTATTCATGGACTATGTGCTAAGTGTGATGTTATCTCATGAAGTCTGTGTGTTCTGACCAGCCTGTGGACACTGAGTAAATTGGTTGTCATAATGGCGAGAATGAAGTGGGGTGAAGGTTGAAATGGTCACCTGCTGCCCATTCGGAAAATTTAACCAGAGTTCTTTCTCACCCACTTCTTTCCCTAGAGTCTGCATATTGGGCTCTTACGGGAAGCAGTGAAAACAAGGAAGAAAAATATTATTCCAGGAGGTGAAGAGGGAAAGAAAATCAGCTTCCCATGATATGTTCAGTATTCAAAAATGGGTCTCCAAGGAAATGCCAGGTTTGCACTGGAACTAAATCTGTATACGGCAATTTCTCAAACTCAACATCACTGACATTTTGGTCTAGATAATTCTTCATGGTGGAGGGCTGCGTTGTGCATTGTGGGATGTTTAGCAGCGCCCCTGACCTCTACCTCCTCAATGTCATTAGTACCGCTCCAGTTATGACATGAAATATCTCCAGATGTGCCAAATGTCCCATGGAGAGCAGAACTGCCCCAGTTGAGAAGTACTGGTATAGAGAAACATGGGGCTGGAAGATCCCAACTGCAGCTCAGACACTCACCATTGACATAGAGACTGTCTCTGTCCAGGGTGTAGGTGCCCAGCCAGGTGACACCATGGGTCAGCTGACTCAGCTCCTGGTACAATTCTTCCCTGTTTAGCCCGGGGCCCATGGGGCCAGGATGATAGGTGCAGATGGCATCCACTCCTGTTGCTGCCCCATCCTTCTCAGTCCTAGGGTAGCAGGGACATGGGAATGGGGCATCCTGAGATGTGGGAGAGTTACACACTTTGTTCACCTGCCTTCAGCTCACCCCACCCCCTTGGTCTTCTGGCATTTCCCTTTACTGGGTCTTGTCTGGTTTCTCATGCACATTCTCTTCTGGGACCTTCTCATCTAGGTATCTTCCTACTCCTTAAAGTGGTTGATCTCCAAGGCTTCGTCCTCAGCCAACTTCTATTCTTTTGGCCTCGTTCTTCTTGAATCATATGGTTCACACTCACTGGTTCAGCTACTGGCTTAATTATCATGAGATCCGGTCTTACTCTCTGGCCAAGACCCCTCTCCTGAGCCCTGTGCCATGTAACCAACAGCCCCAAGGATGTCCTTCAGACTTATTAGATTCCATATGACCCAGATTAAGCTTATTAAAACACAGAGCCTGCTCCTTCTGCTGTGTTTCCATATTGAGGCCAGAGCCAAACATGTGGGAGCCATCCTGGACCTTCCCTGTCCTTGGCCCCCCCCATCCAAGCAACATCTAAGAGCCCAACACCTCACTGATTTCCCCCACCTCCTATCTCATCATCATATCAAATTTCCCATGCCCATATCTACCAGTGAGCTACTTAAAATACATGACGTCACATCAAGCCTCTGCTTAAAACTCCACGGTTCCCCACCTGATCTGAGGTATGCCAACCCTTGAAATACTTTTTGCCAAAGTGTCTTCTGGCAATTCTTTCTGGCTAATGCTCATTCAGTTCAGGCATCGCTTTCTCCAGACTGCTTCCACTCAAATCCCCCACGTTCAGCTAAAAGTCCATCCTCCAGCCTCCTATGGCCTCCATGTAATGCTTTATCATTGTACTAATCCGGTTACTATTATGTTTTTAAGTTCATATGACTGCTGTCCTCTCTGTACTATGGGTACCTTGAGGGAAGAGTCCATGACTGATTCTCTCGGTGCCTCTAGTACCTGTCACAGGGCATGGCCTGAGGTAGCTCATTTCATGTCTGCTTAAGGAGTCAATGATGGCCTTTCTGACCAGTGAGCATGAATGCTCCATGGCTCTTCTTATCCAAGTAATTTAAGACCTTTATTTGACAGCCACTTCTTTCAGGCAGCCCTATCTGATACACTCAGCCAAAGGGGATGCCTTCCATCTGAATTCATGGAATCCCATCTGAAGCCATTTATGATTCTTTTAGTTGCCACGTTTAGGTCCTCACTTCCAGGTGAACTTGCCTGTGACCATTGTGAGGGAGGGAAGTCTCACCTGAGCAAGGTCAGTCTGCAGCCAGAGTACAGTGGGCCAATACTGGTGTTCTTGAATAAGGGACCAAGCTGGGGAGGAAGGAGAGAGAGGTGAGCAGGAGGGGCCGAGGTGACTGAGTGGGGGAAGGACAAGGCAGACCAGAGGAGGCATTGCTGGGCTCTTACCAGGCGATTCAGGGCCCTCTCAGTGGAGTTGAACTTCAGGGAGCCTGGGTGCCTCATGTCTGGGGTGCAGAGCAGGTTGGTGATGGTAAAGTTGAGGGTGAATGGCACCAGGGCTGGGCCCACACTTGCAGCTGGAGGGAGGGAGAGAGAGGAGACCCATCACAGTTTTAGGCCTGAGCTGTACATTAGGGGGAAGGGACTAGTGCCATCTCTCTGTCCATAGTGTCCTGTAGGTGAGGCCTGAGATATCCCATCTGGGATACCCTCCCTCCTCGGGCAGCCAAGGGGGGACCTCCATGTTAGATGTGCGGCATCAGCTCAAAAGGAAACCTCAATCTTCTCATCCCAGAGTGTCCACAAAGGCTGACCTGTCACGAACCTTTTGATGGGAAGAGGAGGCACCAAGACCTTTTGTCCTCAGACTGTGGGCCACACATATTTGAGAAGTCAAGAAATCCAAACAGTAGTCATTTCCATGATGGAAACGATTGTAGAGATAGAAGAGAGATTAGATCCCACCTATGTGTGGGATATGGGGACATGATGCTACTTTATATGAGGAAGTCTGAGCAAGAGCCAGTAGAGCTGAATCTGGAGGACAAAGGGAAACAGAGCTGAGCTCCTATGACATAAGAGCAAAGACCCTGAGGATGGAAGGATGTTTGGTCCCTGGAGGAACAGAAACGAGGCTGGTGTGGCCAGAGATGAGGAAGCACGGGAGACAGGCTGAGAGATCGGCCAGAACGGGAGTTGAAGTTCCATGAGACTCAAAGATCAGACTCCTACCTGTAGAGCTGGGGGTGGGAGGCAGAGATGCTGAGGGCCCTGGAGAAAATGTGGAGGTCACCAGAGCTGAAAGAAAACACGACATTAACATAAATCATGAAGCAGAGAGAGGACTGGGCTGCTGACGGGAATTTGCATCTCTAATTGCTGGTCTGGAGCTGCTCTGGGGCTGAGAATCTGGGGGATGGGGTATGTGGGTACTTTCCCCATGGGAGTGGGTGTAGGGTGGAAGTGTTCTGGGGGCACAGGGACATATGGGCCCTGGTGACTTACTGCTGGTGATGGGGGTCCAGTACTGATGGTTATAACCTGCAGAGAGAGCCAGAGAGGAAGAGAAAGTCAATGGGAGAAGGTGGAGAAATGGGTGAAGGGTAGGACTTGGAACATGGACACAGACTTTCTCCAGTGCTTTCTCTGAGACTCATCAAAGATAATGATGGCTGCTCTTAATGAGTTAACTGTCTGGTACTCCAATGCTCACGACCATTTCATCCTCGTTATCATTAACCACAAAAACAATAATAAGCAAAGTACCCCCACTTGTGGGGGATTCACTAGGTGCCTGGAGCAATAGGAACCTCATCAGATGAGTCATAGGAACAACAGCTTTATGAGTTTCCAGGCTTATTTGTGTTCTCTCCACTCATTAAATATAACTTTGTCCTTGATCTCTGAGTTTTTCCTACTACACCTCTCATCAGAAATAGCTGGATTTTTGACACAGTTCCTGGACTTCTGTAATGTTGAATGAGGGAGAGAGAGTAAGATAGACAGACAGACAGAAAGAAAGACAGACAGACTTGGGAGTCAACCCACGAGTATAAAGTTGGAGAATAAGAGGGAATGGGGAAAAGAGGGTTTGAATAAGTATGGTTCTGGATCATGGACTGGATCCTCTCTGAGGCTTTGCAAGCAATGCAAGTAAAACTTAGACTTATTTTATATTTGATGGTCCGACTAGGTTTCTTGAAATTAAACTCTTCTTTGAGACTGGACCCAGTAGAGGGAGCCCTGTGATTTACTTAGATTATTCAGGCTTTATCCCATTTGACCTTTACAATAAGCTTAGGTGAGGGTTTTAAAAATTCCATTCTAAAAATAGACACTGAAGCCTACAGAGGTCACATGGCTTGCCCCGGGCCATAGTGGGAGCAAAAAAAAACCCAGGACCAGCACTTAAAGAAAGACCTGTAAATCACCCAAACCCACACTGTCAACTATAGCTTTAAGTAATTCTCAAAGACCATGAAAATACAATACAGGCTTTAATCCGGATACAAAGAAAATGTCAAAGGCAATACAGTGGGGACATAATTAAGCATGAATTTAAATTGTTGTATTAGAGGCTCCTTGATTTGCCTTCCCATCCTGAGATTTGAGGCTTGTTCTAGCTTGGTTTGTCTGCAGTGTAGCCTAGTAGCTAGGGGCACTTTGGGGGCCTTAGAGCCAATTTGGGGGTTTCAGTCCTCATGCTACCATTTATATAAGGTTTCTGATCTTATATAAGATCAGAAATAAGGATTGGAAAATAAAGATTTCCTTCCTTGGTCCTTGTTTGCTCCTCTGTAAAATATACATAATACCTCACAGAGTGTTGGGCAAGATTAGCGAGGCACAATACACACAACGTTCCAGATCACAGGCATCCCTCAATAAATATTAGCCTTTAGTACAGGCGTTACTGTGGGTTTTGTTGTAAGAACATCGATGCAGAGGGATTTATTGCTAAAAGCAATGCTAACAGCTTTATTGTCTGATTCTCAGGTGGGGTGTGGTTCTGCCTGGCACCTGGAGGATGAGTAAAGGGCCACAAGCTGTTAGAACAAAGGGAAAGAAATGGATCAGTCACCGCCTTGGGAACTCATTGCCTGTTGGGAAGGAATTAACATCAACACCCACTGTGGGCTTGCCCTCTCCCTTTCCTGACGCCTACATACTCCAGCGGGGTTTCTGTGAAAGTTCACCTTAATGAGAAACTATGGAGACAGCCTTTGTCAGACCTTGCAAATGTTCTGTGAGCATAGGGTGTTGTAAAGAAGTGTTGAATCACTATACTGTACACCTGGACCTGAAACTGATGTAACACTGTATGTTAACTAACTGGGATTAAAATAAAAACTTAAATTAGGGGCGCCTGTGGCTCAGTCGGTTAAGTGTCCGACTTCGGCTCAGGTCATGATCTCACAGTTTGTGGGTTCGAGCCCCACATCTAGCTCTGTGCTAACAGCTCAGAGCCTGGAGCCTACTTCAGATTCTGTGTCCCCCTCTCTCTTCCCCTCCCCTGTTTATACTCAGTCTTTCTCTCTCTCAAAAATAAATATTTAAACATTTTTAATAAAAACTTAAGTGAAAAAAATAAAAATAAATAATAGTAGGACCTAAAGAAGAATTAACCGAACATGGAAATGTTCACACCGCTGATATTTGGAGGGTCCATTTATGTAACCAGAGGAATGTAGTGAAGATAAATTTATCAACATTCACAAGAAAAGTTGTGACAGAAAAAGTGAGAATATCTAAAGGCAGTGACATTCGCAGACAAAACTTCACATTAACAAAATTTTCAGAGATAAATTACCATACTGAAAGCACACAGGGCAAAATGCTGGAATCTGGTGGAGACTTAGAAAATGATATGACAGTTCACCCTGGTACAGAAAAAGACTTGCTGTCTATTGTACATCATGTGATGAGAAGAAGGCAAGCACAGGTCTAAGAATTTTCCAAAATACAAAAAAAAACCAAAAACCTTTTCTTCTCAAAGTTTCTAATATATTTTTTTAATTTTAATGTTTATTTATGTTTGAGAGAGAGAGAGAGACAGAGACAGAGTGTGAGCAGGGAAGGGACAGAGAGAGAGAGGGAGACACAGATCTGAAGCAGGCTCCAGGCTCTGAACTGTCAGCATAGAGCCCGACGCGGGGCTCAAACGAACCGGAGATTATGACCTGAGCTGAAGTCAGATGCCCAACTGACTGTGTCACCCTGGCACCACAAAGTTTCTAATATTTAAAATGATTGGTTATGAAATAAATATTAATTTTACAAAAAAAAAAAAAAAAAGGAGGAAAGGAAGGAAGGAAAAAGGGAGGGAAGCTAGCTCTGTAGGTGTTCTGAGGAAAGAATTCCCCCATGGAAATCCTAGGTTGGCCCAGAACCATGAACCTGGCTGGGTACTGAGAAACTGCACTACAAGGAGACTCCATCTGGGACTCAGGAGGAGACCCAAGCAGGAGAAGTACTCACCATTGACCCAGAGACTGTTCCTGTCCAGTGTGTAGGCGCCCAGCCGAGTGACCCCATGGGTCTGCTGGCTGAGCTCCTGGTACAGCTGCTCTCTGTCCAGCCTGAAGCCGGTGGGATCTGGGCGATAGGTACAGACCGCATCCATTCTGGTGCTCGTTCCATCCTTTTCAGCCCTGGGGAAGGGGGGGCACGGGAACAGAGACACTTGAGAGTTGACTACTCTTGACAGCTCCTTCTTTCAATTGTGCCCCTAGATGTTTATGTTAGTACTCTTCTCTGGGTTTCATCTACTTCTCAAACACATCTTTTTCTGTCCCCTATGGGGACCACCGCACCTTCTTCAGTGTAGGGTTCTCCAGGGCTGCTCCATACCTAATTTTCTTCTTTTGCTCCCCAATCTTTTATTTACTGCTTCATGCTCATTGTTCCAACTACCAGCACCCAGTACAGTCCCTGTCCACTCAAGAAGGTAACTATAAGTGACATTCCCTCCACTAAGAGCTGAGTCCTGCTTGGGCCATGGGATTGGGGGGGATGGAGCTCCCAGGGGGGGAATGAGAATCCTGAACCAGGCAGAACGTAGAAGGTAACAGCAAAGGACTGAAGACTGTGGAGGAGGTGAGTGAATCACCTCTGCGACTGGCTGTGACACTGTCTTAACAGCCATCATGGAACCTGAAGGGAAGACTTCGTTTCAAGTTGGTGAACCCCAAGGCTGAGGTCAACCCCTTGGGAACATCTTTGGAGCAGGCAACCAAATTTGGAGGAAAAAAAACAGAGGAAATTACTTAAGAGGTAATAAGGGGCAATGTGGTTCAAAAATACCTTTATCCAGGGGTGCCTGGGTGGCTCAGTTGGTTAAGTGCCCGTCTTAGGCTCAGGTCATGATCTCACTGCTCATGAGTTCAAGCCCAGAGCCTGCTTTGCATTCTGTGTCTTCATCTTTCTCTGCCCCTCCCCTACTCTCTCTCTCTCTCAAAAATGAATAAATGTTAAAAAATTCAAAACAAATACTTTTGTCCTGAATTTAAGTTGCATTTATAGTGATTCATCCAGAGTGGGGGCTTTATAAGAAGAAAGATCCCCGCCCTTCCTTGTCAGCGAATTCTTGCTATTACCCACACTAGTCAAAGCATTCCCATTTTATACTCATATAGTGTAATCCAGTGGTTCTCAAAGTGTGGCCCAGAGACTCCTGGTATTCCCAAACTCTTACAGGGAGCCCACCAAGTAAAGCTATTCTCATATTCATACCACGACATTATTTTCACTTTTATTCTCTTAGGAGTATACAAATTTTTTTTCCAGAGGCTACGAGGTGAAATATTATAAAAGATTAAATGCAGAGGCAGCGGGCCTGGCTGGCTCAGTCAGAAGGGTACATGACTCTTGATCTCAGGGTCATGGACTCAAGCCCCACGTTGGGTGTACAGATTACTAAAATAAATAATTTAAAAAATGAGGAAGCAGGTAGCCTACTGTCTTACTATCTTTTATTAAGACAGGCATTAAAAAGATCTACAAAAATGTGAACAATGGCCCTCTTCTTATTATGCTTTTTTTGGGGGGGGCGGGGAGAGAGGGGGAAACATGGCTATTATTCATAAAAATAATGTTATTTGTGTTAACATGTAATAGGTTTTTTATTCTAAATAAACTAATGAATTAATATAGCATTTTCCTTAGTTTAGAACCCAGTAAATACTGGCAGATATAACCTCCCAAGTCCAAAGGCTCTTTGAAGTTCTGAGTACTTTTAAGGATGTAGGTTGTTGAGCCCAGTGACCTTGAGCTCTGCTGTATCATGGTTGAAAGGAGGGACTCAAGAACTGGAACCTCTGAGTTCAAATCCTGACTCCTCTCAAGTACTTGACTACTATGAGTTTCGGTATTCTCTTCTGCAACGTGGGATAATAATCACATTGTATAGATGAAGTGAAGGAAAACGTGTACATCACCTACACGTTTGTGTGGGCGATATCATCTTATCGATGCCTCCATCTCATGGAGGTGGGGGCAGCTGTGGTGGGTGGGGCTAACTTAGGATGGTTTTAGTCTACAACAGTCCAGGAACCTCTCCTCCAGGAGTCATGTGAGGGGAGGACCCACCTCTCTAGCAGGATGACTTGCACTGGCTGGATGCAGGACCCCAAGGAGAGGTCACAGGGTCGTGAGATGCAAGGAAAGGGTTCTGAGCCCACTGACCTCAGAGGACACCAAATGAGCAGAAGTGGAGAGGGGAAGACGGGCCATTTCTGCAGAGTTCAGGTCCGTTTGAGAGTTTTTAAGTGGTAATATATCCTGCCAGTATTGAATATTTGGTTTGTTTTTCCCTTTGGTTCTGTGTAACTTCCTTTGGGAAAGTCCTTATCTCTTTTTAAGGAATATACTGCAGAGCCGTGGTGTCCAGGGTTTGTCCCCAAGAGGGTAGATGTGAGCTGGGCAGGGTGAGTGTCAAGGATTCTGGGGATACAGCTGGCGAAGATACCACACTGACTAGTACCACGAGATCCTATCGAACATTCACAACGTGCTAAGCACTGCGCTGAGTGATTAACAACCCCAATGGCACGGTGTTAGTATTAGCACTACTTTGTAGATAATGTGATTGAAGCACAGAGAGGTTATGCAACTTGCCCAAGGACACACAGTTAGCAAGTGAGAGAGCAAGGGTTCAAACCCAGACACTTTGGATTCACTATGATATACTGTCTCTTGGCAAAGGCCCAAGGATGTGGTTGACTGGGATGTGGGGGGACCAAGAAGGGAGAGGACTGGGGTTTCTGTAGGTGCTTTGGAAGAAGACTCACCTTAGCAAGGTCAGCCTGCAGCCAGCATAGAAGGAACCAACACTGCTGTTTTTGAACAGAGTCCTGAGCTGGGAATAGATGAGAGAGTGATGAGCTGGAGGGGCCGAGACTGCAGGGTGTGGAGGGCTTGGGATGAGGTGAGTGTTGGTGGGGGGCTCTCACCAGGTGTTGCAGGTCTCTCTCAGTGGCATTGAATATCTCAGAGCCCGAGTTCCCCATGTCCTCTGTGTAGCGCAGGTTGGTGATGGTGACATTGACAGTAAAAGGCATCAAGTCAGGGGCTGCGGCTGTGGTGATGGGGAGAGCAAAAGGAGGTCAGTCCCGAGTCAGGCCTGGGCTGGGGGTGGGAGGTGAGGCTCTGAGGACACGCCTCAATGCCAGCGCCTCACCGGGTTGGGCCTAGCCTGTCCTGCTTGAGAACACATCATGTTGCAGTTACCGTTCAAGACCCTCCCACACCAGGTGACCAACCACCCCAGTTTTCCCAGGACTCTCTGGGTTCCTGGGATGCTGACTTCCAGCTGGAAAAGTGAGGCAGACCTGGGAAAACCAGGATGAGCTGGTCACCCTCCCGCCACTTCCCCTGGGCTCTTACCATTTCAGCACACAGCAGCACCCGTGTCTCTTTGTAGCAGGGGAGTGAACGGGCCCCCGCGGGGCATCCTGCTAGCAATGATCAATCGGGGTTGGTGAAAAATATCCCAGCTCCCGAACCTGCCCCCCAGAGAGTATGACTTCAAAGTTCATGTTCTACGCATTCTCCTCGGGTTCCCCTCCAGCCTCCAGACCTGATAAATTTCTACTTGTTCGAGGCACCCAGTGTGTGATACTTCATGATTGTTGCTCTAACAAACAAGTACGCCACACGACCATACCAATTTTGGTATGTACTCCAAAGAACTGGAAACAGGGACTCAAACAGTTATGTGCAAGCCCACCTTCATAGTAGCTTTATCCACAGTAGCCAAAAGGCAGAAACAGCAAGAGCGTCCATCAACAGACGAATGGACAGATAAAATGTGGTCCATCCACATGACGGAATGTCATTCGTCCATGAATGACACACACTACAGTGTGGATGAACCATGACGACATTGCGCTCAGTGAAATAAGCCAGACACAAAAATCAAATACACTGTGTGATTCCACATACATGAGATAACTAAAATAGGCTAATTCAAGAAGACGGAAATGGATTAGAGTTACCAGGGGCTGAGGGGAGTGGGGAAGGAAAGCTAATGCCAATGGGCACCCCAATGCCAGTTGGAGTGATAAAAGGTTTTGGATAAAGGACAATGTTAATGTAACACTGTGAATGAAATTAATGCCACTGAATTATACATCTAAAATGGTTAAAATAGCTAATTCTATACACATTTTTATCACAGTAAAAAAAAAAGTGATTCTTACTTGTTTCTGAAGTCACACTCAGAGAGGTCAAGGTGGACATCCCAGGTGAGGTCTCAGGGGCAAAGGGACTTCCCACAGGTGTATTGAAGGTGGTTGTGGTCTCCGCCATGATGGGGCCTGAACCTGTGGCAGCTAAATTTGTGGCCTCAAGAGTTGTGGTTTTCAGGGTAGCAGTTGGACTCAATCCTTCTCCGTGACTGGTTTTAGGTGGTGTTGGGGTCTCTGACGCTATCAAGGTCACAGTGTGCCCTGTGACAGTCTTGGACAATTCCAGGAGTCCAACTGAGGTCACAGGTGGTGAGGGTTCTGTGCTCCAGGAAGTGAAGGTATGAGACTCCCCAGTGGCTGCAGGGGTACTGACAGGCCCAAGAACACTAGCAGTCAAAGTTGGGCCACCTGTGCTGGCCTCTGAAGCAGGGCTGGTGGCTGACAAGCCTGTGGTCCCCAATAACACAGGGGAAGGAGTTGACATTGAAATAGTTGTGCTGATGTCTGTGCCAAGATGGGTGGAGAGTGAGGCTGTTTCTACAGGAACACCAGGTGAGACCACTGGACCCAGATCAACTCTGCCGCTCTCGGTCATGGGTGTGGTGAAGGGTGTTGTTTCTGGTGGACTGAGGGAAACAGTCTGAATTGAACCAGGAAAATGTGTACTTGTCTTTGCACTGGGGTGGGTGACCAATAAGGCTGTGGTTCCTGGTTCACCGGGAGAAAGAGTCAGACTTGGAAGAGTCATATTGGCATCTGTCTCAGAAGTAGGAACGTAGGAGGTCACCATATCTGGTACACCAAGGGGGACAGTTGGAGTTGGAGCCACTGAACTGGTTTCCACCCCACTGCTGGTGGCTATTGAGTGTGCGGTGTCTGGTTCACCTTTGGGAAAAACTGGAGTTGTTTTGAGGACAGTTGAGCTGGTCTCCGTAGAATGAATGACCAGTGAGACTGCTGTATCTGGCTCCCCAGGGGAAACAGTCAGAGTTGGAACAGCTGAACTAGTTTCTGCCCCAGAATGGGTGACCCATGAGGTCATTGCCTCTGCCTTTTGTGGGGAATCAGTCAGAGTCGTAAACGTTGTACTGTCTTCTATCCCAGAACTGGTGACCAGCGAGGTCACAAGCTCTGACACAGTAGAGGAGGCAGTTGCAGCTGAGCTGGTCTGGACCTCAGAATAAGTGATTGTTGAGGCTGTGGTCACTGGCTCGCCAGGAGAAATATTCAGAGTTGGATTAACCATACTGGCATCATTCTCAGAATCCGTGATCTGTGAGGTCACCATATCTGGTACACGGGGGGAGACAACTGAACTGGTTTCTGCCCCATGGCTGGCGGCCATTGAGTGAGTGGTATATAATTCACTATGGGAAACACTGGGGGTCATCCTGGAAACTGTTGGGCTGGTCTCTGGAGGATGGGTGATCAATGGGACTACTGTGTCTGGCTCCCCAGGGGAAGTAGGAACAGTTGGAACAGCTGAACTGGCTTCTGTCTCAGAGTGGGGGACCCACGAGCTTGTGGTCTCCAGTTGACCTGGAGAAACAGTCAGAGCTGTAAAAGTTGTACTTGTCTCTGGCCCAGAGCTTGTGGCCAGTGAGATTTCTACCCCTGGTATACCAGCGGAGACAGTCGCAGTTGGAATGGCTGAACTTGTCTGTGCCCCAGAACTGGTAGCTATCAAATATGTGGTATCTGATTCTCCGTGGGAAAAATCGGGTGTCGACTTAGGAATAGTTGAGCTGGTCTCTGCAGGATGGGTGGCCAACGAGACTGCTGTAGTTGGATTCTCAGGGGAAGAAGTAGGCAGAGTTGGAATAGCCGAACTGCTTTCTTTCTCAGAATGGGTGACCCATGAGGCTGTGGTCTCCAGTTCATGCAGAGAATCAGCCAGAGTTGAAAAAGTTGTATTGGTGTCTACCCCAGAACTGGTAACTGTTAAGGTCGGCAACTCTGATATGCCTGGTGAGATAGTTGTCGCTGACAGTGAACTGACTTCTGCCCCTGGAGGGGTGGCCGTGGAGAGTGTGGTATCTGATTCACTATGGGAGAAATTTGGAGTTATTCTGGAAACAGGTGTGCTGGTCTCTGAGGAATGGGTGACCCATAAGGCTGTCTCTGATTCATGTGAGTGATCAGTCTGAGTTGAAAAAGTTGTACCAGTCTCTGCCCCAGAATTAGTAACCAGTGAGGTCCCCACTCCTGATACACCAGGGGAGACGGTTGGAGTTGGGATGGAAGAACCAGTCTGTGCTCCAGAATGATTAACCCATGAGACTGTGTTTGCTGGTTCACCAGGAGAAAGAGTTGGAGGTGAAATAACCATACTGGCATCTGTCCCAGAAATAGTGGCCTGTGAGGTCACCATATCTGGTACATCAGGGGAGACAGGTGTACTTGGAACAGCTGAGCTGGCTTCTGTCTCAAAGCTGGTAGCTGTTGAGGGTGTGCTGTATGATTCACTGTGGGAAACACTAGAGGTTGTCCTGGGAACCACCAGGCTGGACACTGCAGGATGGGTGACCAAGGAGACCGTTGTGTCTGATTCATGCAGGGATTCAATCAGAGTAGAAAAGGTTGTCCTGGTATCTGTCCCAGAACTAATGGCCTGTGAGGTCACTGCAGCTGGTACAGCAGATGAGACAGTCATTGTTGGAGTGGGTGAACCGGCTTCTACCCCAGGAGTAGTGGCCATCACGGGTATGGTGTCTAATTCACTTTGGGAAAAATTTGGAGTTGTTCTGGAAACAGGGGTGCTATTCTCTGTGGAGTGAACCCATGAGACTGTTGTAACTGGCTCACCAGGGGAAACAGTAGAAGTTGCAACAGTGGAAATAGCTCCTGTCCCAGGAGGGGTGACCTGCAAGGTTGTTGCCTCTGGTTCATGTGAGGAATCAGTCAGAGTTGTAAAAGCTGTGTTGGTCTCTGCCCCAGAGCTGGTAAGTGGTGAGCTTTCCACCCCTGATACACCAGGGGAGATGGCTGGAGTTGGAATGGCTGAACTGGTCTGTGCCTCAGGATGGGTAACCAACGAGGCTGTTGCATCTGGCTCACCAGGGGAAACAGTCAGAGTTCGATCAGCTGGGCTGGTGTCTGCTCCAGAACTAGCATCCGCTGAGGTCACCAGCCCTGGCTCGCCAGGGAAGACGCTTGGAATTGGAATAGATGAACTGCTCTGTGCCCCAGGCTGGATGACCCATGAGGGGGTGGTCTCCGGTCCGTCTTGGGAATCAGTCAGAGTTGGAATAACTGTACTCATCTCTGCCCCAGGACTAGTTACCAGTGAGGTTGCCGTTTCCGGTATGCCAGGAAAGACTGTCGGAGTTGGAACTGCTAAACTGACTTCTTCCCCAGAACCAGTGGCCGTTGGGGGCGTGCTGTCTGATTCACTGCGGGAAACACTCAAGGTTGCCCTGGAACCAGCTGAGCTGGTCTCTGAAGACTGAGTGGCCTGTGAGGTTGTGGTGTCCGGCTCACCAAGGGAAAGAGCTGGACTGTTCTCTGCCTCGGAACTAGGGACCAGTGAGGGTGTCATCTCTGAGCCTCTATTGAAAACAGATGGGGTTGTCTGGGGAGCCTCTGTGCTGGTCTCTGCTTCAGGTACGATGGCCAAGGAGGCTGTCATCTCTAGAACATCAGAGGAAGTATCTGGGGTTGAAATGCTCAGTCCCCTTGTGCTTGTGCTGGCCGTTTTACCTGATGTCCCGAGGAGAGGCGGCGTTCCCGGAGTGCGAGTAGAGACAGGAGAGGTCGGGGTTGCTGTAGAGGTTGTCTTCAGAGCTGTGGCCTCTTCTCTTTCTGTCCACTCTGTTGTTAGTCCTGTCAATGGGGGCATGGACACATGGTTTCGACAAAATAATTCCCACTTACTGGACTGGCAATAGTGTATTTTTTCTCCACATGAGAAAAGGGAGGGAAATGTCTCTGCCTGGGGTAAATGGTTCTGGAATGGGAAAAGGAAGTGCCAGTGGCATTCCTGCACCTTCCCATTCACATGTGGTGCTGTCACTCCGTGAGTCCTTAACCACTCCCGGCTCCCAAATGCTGTCTGTACTCTCCAGCCCCCGAGCCTTTTCTCAAGGCTGTTTCTCTTGTCTGCCTTGTCCGTCATTCATCAGATTCCTTACATCCTGCCCTTCTTCAAACTCTAGCTTGGACCTACCTTTATAAATCCATGTCAGAATTCATCTCTCCCTTCCCGATATTTCCTCATCCTCAAGTCTCAATCTGCACAGTGGCGCTCCTCACAGTCGGCGTGGTAATAGCTGTTTACAGCCAGAAGACTGCTTGGCATATAGTAGGTGCCCACAGATATTTGCTGAATAAATGAGTGACTGAATGAATGGATACATGGATGGAGGTATGCAGAGAGAGGTCTACTCTGGCTTGAGAGAGAGCATGTATCTTTGTGCTTATGAGCTTGGGCTCTGGAAGAAGGTACTCCTGCACTCAGTTTCTAGCTCCCCCACTCAATGGATGTGTGACTGAACCTTGCTAGACTTCCATATTCTCACCTGTAAAGTAGGTGTAAGGACAGTGGCCATCTCAGAACGCTGATGAAAATGCACCAGGCACGGTGCCTGGCTCAAAATACTACTACTGCTGCTATCACTAAACCACTGCTACTACCACCTGCTGTTACTGCTATTACTACGGTCACTGCTACTACCTACTATTACTGCTGTTAACTACTATTACCACCTATTACCATGGTTATTATTACTGTTACTACTGCTACTATTAATTGCTATCACTGGAGATATTACTGCTATTTTTACCACTATTACTATTTCCACTGCTTTTTGTATGTCCACTACAGATAAGTGTTTGCTGAGTCGGAATTTTCCAGGAACCATGCTAGACAGTTCCAAAGCTGGCCAGGGTGACTGGAATTCAGATTCTGAAGACAAGTAAAGTCTCATTGGCTGAGACAGCAGCTACTGACTAGGGCTTCAAAAAAAAAAAAAAAAGTCCCTGGGAAGGAGGGAGAACCATTGGGAGGCTTCTCCATAAAGACCACAAGACCCACTGGCTTGGGCCAGGGACAAAATAAAGGGGATTTGGACTCTGAGCGGGGGAGCAATGTCCCTCTTTTACTAAGACCATATAAAAAATGCCCCACATTTCTGAAAGTGGATATACTAAAATGCTTTGTATGATGATGAAGAGGAGGAGGAGGAGCAGGGGCGAGAGGAGGAGGGAAGGACGATTTGCCAAGCACCTAGTATGCTTTATCTCTTTGACACTCATCAGAGCACTTAATATACATCATATTATTCTTGCAGTTGTCATTGAAGAGAAAGACAGAAACTCAGAGATCATCATCTGCCAAGGTCACGCAGCTGCTGGCCGCTAGTGTGGAAATGTGAACCTCATTCTGCCTGAATGCTAAACCGGCGCTCTCCAGTGCTGTAATATATAATTCCCTACCCCAAGCTCAGGATCCTGTGGGAGCCGGGATGAAAAGGGAAGGATGTAAGGAGAAAATTTCCATCCGGAGAGGTTAAACAAGAGTCCTCTAGTTCAGTGGTTCTCAAACCTGGGGTGATTTTGCTCCCAGGGGATACTTGGCAATGTCAGGAGACATTGTTGGTCATCGCAACTGTGTATATGTGGAGGGTGCTACTGGCATGTAGTGAGGCCAGGGTGCTGCTAAACACCCACAGTGCACAGGAAAGCCCACAGGCGACTATTTGCCTGGTGGGGCTGAGGTTGAAAAACCCTGCTCTATGTTGAAAGTAGTCAATGAATACTGTTAGCTATTCCTAAGCTTTGCCATCTGGATACTGGTCACCACCTGGATAGACCCCAGTGATTCATTGCTCAGTGACCTGACATAGTCAATCCGGTCAATGCCCCACTTGTATCCTATACAGTGATCCCAGTGGGAGCCTGATGCAGCCTCTGTGACTCCACCCACACCCAAGGGCTTTCATTCAGCCTGTGTGTGGGGGGGTGCGAGGCAGGCTGGAGGCGCTGAGGGTTATAATGGCAGGATCATGCATCCCACAGCCAATGATAGAAGAAAGTTGTCTGACATATGCCCCAGCTACTTCACTCCTCAGATTAGACAACACTGAGGTGTTCTGTGCTGTCTCCCAGAGCTCCCCAGTGGGACCGACACTGTTGCCCTTAGCTGTGGCCTTGATCATGAATGCACCTTGCACTGACTTCCTTTCCTTGTCTTCTCCAGTGCTTCCTGGGACCATCCCCCACCTCTGACAGACCACTTCTCCCAAATCCTTAGCTCACGTTTGCTTCTGAGGGGACCCAATCAAAGATGCCTGGTCACAGGATAAGACTAATAACCTGACTGGGGGAGGTAGGGGTGACTCTGTCCAAAGCCTGCATCTTGGAAAAAGACTCCAAAATGTCCTGGTAAAATAGACTGGTCTCCAAATCTTGGGGACAGCTTAATGGGTATGGAGAGCTTTACATTTTATTTATTTATTTTTTTAAATGTTTTTATTTATTTCTAGGAGAGAGACAGAGAGAGACAGCGTGAGCAGGGGAGGGTCAGAGAGAGAGGGAGACACAGACAGAAACAGGCTCCAGGCTCTGAGCCGGCAGTCAGCACAGACCCCGACGCGGGGCTCGAACCCACGAACCGCGAGATCATGACCTAAGCAAAAGTCAGACGCTTAACCGACTAAGCCACCCAAGTGCCCCAAGCTTTACATTTTAACCACACAATGAGGAGGACCCATTTCTATACACACCTGCATCTCTTAAACTCTCAGACAGAACAATAATACTGAGAAATGTTAATGGGTGCCTTATAGAGTGAAAGATACCACAGTCAATAATGGTGTAAAACCCTAGGTTGAATAAAGCCAAACCAATTTCTTTACAGTAAGATTTCTCAGAGACTTTAATATATTTATGCACATTATGGTTCTTTAGGAAGGAGCAACATGTTTGCCAAACTTTTTTTTTTTTTTTTTTGCCACAAAATTCTTTGTCCTTTTGTTAAAGGGCATCCAAGCATTACCAAGCCTTAGAAGGTTTCCTGAATATTGTTTTCCGCTGCTGTCTCCCGGATCATTTCCCACCATCCCATCCTTCCACCTCACACTTTAGCAAGGGTGAATTATTTGTACGTCCCAGACATTTCCAGTTTTACCCCCTCTCTGTGCTTTCGCATGTGGTCGTTCCTGGTTCCTATCCAGAATGTCTTCGTCAACTCCCTTTGTCTTTCTGGTAAATCCCTAGTCATGCCTTCAAACCCGGTTCAAATATTATCTCCCCCATGAAGCCTTCCTTCTATAGTTCAAATACAGCTTCATTGCATACGTTTAAATTTGCATCACAGAAATTTTGTTCCTTTGTTGCTTCCCTGCTGGTCCGAGTGCTCTGAGGGTACAGTGCCCAAGTATTCTCACCTGTGCATCCTCAGCTCGCAGCACAGTTTCTAACAGAGAAAGCGACCAGTAAGCATTTTCAGAATTAAGCTAAATTGGGTCGTATTTGTGGGACTGGCATATCCACCCTTGAACTAAACTCACTACACATGTTATGAGGAAAAGAAAAGTGGCAACAGCCACCTGGTATCCCTTAGACAAAGATCTAGCTAGGGGAGATCCAGCTAGATTCCAGATAGAGAAGCCCATGACCACCCCACATGATTCTTTCTCTTAAGAGACATTTCATTTCTCTGGAAGAGGAAATAAGGTCACAAGTGCGATTACTGGGAAGCAAGCAAAGGTGAACCTACCTCTAGGACTAGGAGATGATGTGAGTGCCACGTGTACATGGACTGGTCCTGTGGCACCTCCTTGGGCTGCTTCATTGGGTATCCTTGTGATGCGCTCCACAATGCCATCAGTCCCTGTGAGTGAGGGTGGAGAAGAAACCTGGGTTAATTCACCTCATCCAGAAGGAGAGCACTGTCTAAACGGATCCATTTCATTGACTCTACAACTCAATTCTTCTCAAGTCCAAATCAGGGCTATGTGGCACGTGTGGCCATTCCTGTTCATTTGCCCATTCACCCACCCATAGATTTGTCCATCTTTCCTTCTACTCATCCCTGTATGTACCCATTCATCCTTCCTTCTTTCATGTATCCATGTTTTCATTCTTTCTTTGTCCTTCCACGGACCCAACCACTCTCCTACTTTCTTACCCCCCAGCTCATCACTTGCTTACTGAACACCCATGACTCAACTACTGAGCCACGTTTTAAGACCTGGATCAATACCTATCAATGTACCTAATTTTATTGAGAATTGAGAGGTAACCAAGTCATCCTCCTATAGATATTGTCCATCAAAGCAAGTGCTAAAGTAGTTAGAGCACTTGTCTCCCAAACAAATGTTGGGGCCAAATTCAACTTTTCAGAGGAATGGAATCCCCAAGAGAGTCCCTTCCTCATCTTCAGATCTCTTGGAAGTGATGTACCTCCTCCTAAGCCCTGAGTCCTTCTCACATCTCATACGTACTTTGTTCCACCATCTTTTATTTGCTCACCGTTGTCTTCCATTTTTCCCTTGCTATTGACTCTGTCCTTAATATAAAAACATACTCATTTCAAAGTGGGATAGTGACCCTGTATCTATGTGTAATTTAGCTGTTGTGCTAGTTCTATTCAACTCACTCATACTCCCTTCATTAGAGTCCCTGAGGGCCCACATGTTGTCAAAGGACTCACCCCATTTCAATTTGACTATCAAGCATTTGACGGGACTGACAATTTTCCTTCCTAAAACACTCCCCTCCTGTGTTCTAGCTTCTGTGATGCCAGAATCTCTTGCTTTTTCTCCTCCCTCCAGACCATTCCTGCGTAGCCTAATAATTAAGAGCATAGATTCCTACTGCCACATAGTCTGAGTTCTTACTACTTATTAGCTTTGTGATCTTGAGTAAAGTACTTAACCTTCTGTGCCTTGGTTTACTCATCTGTAAAATGAGCTTATAATCATCTTTTCTTCAAAAAGATGTGTTGGAATGAGGATTAAAGAACTTAATAGAACAGTGCCCTGACACAGAATGAGTGCCCTATGAAAATTTATAGTTACTGGGGCACCTGGGTGGCTCAGTCGGTTAAGTGTCTGACTTCAACTCAGGTCATGATTTCATGGTTTGTGGGTTCAAGTCCTGCACTGGGCTCTG